CAGCAATAACATCACCATCATCAGTGTCAGTAACAAATGATGCTAATAGAAGATTAAGTGTTGCAATTTCACAATCAGTATTATCTGAAATGAGATTAAAGAAAACTCAACAAGATGATACTCAATCAAATGATAATACATCATCATCATCAGTTGGAGGAGGAAGTGTTCAACAAGTTGATTTTAGATCTGCATTGAAAAAGAAGGAATCTACAAGTAATTTAAATACTTCTGCTACTTCACCAAATACTATTAATACTATTAATACTAATACAAGTAATACAAGTAATAGTGTTAATACTCCTTCAAGTGGTCAAATTGATTTTAGATCTAATTTAAAAAAGAAAGATCAACCATCTTCTTCTTCTACCACTCAACCATCTTCAATTGATACTACTAAGAGTAATAATAATAATACTATTACTCCACCACCATCAACAACAACTAGAACTACTACTTCACCTAATACTAATAATAATACAGGAAGTGGTACACAAGTTGATTTTAGATCAAATTTAAAGAAAAAGACAGAAGATCAATCAAATACTTCACCACCATCTGTTCAAGTTGTACAAGATAAAAAGAATGAAATTCCACCATCAAAACCATCCAATCCACCTCCATCTACTACTGCTACTACTGGTGGTGGAGGAGTTCAACAAGTTGATTTTAGATCTCAACTCAAAAACAAAACATCAAATACTACTACTCCAACTTCTACTACTACACCAGTAACAACACCACCACCTATTAAATCAACCACAACTACAACACCAGTAACAACAACACCACCATCATCTGTATCATCAACACCTTCTACTCCAACAAGTGGTGCTGCTGTTACTGCTAATAGTGCTGGTGAAGCTCAACAAGTAGATTTTAGATCAATTTTAAAGAAGAGAAAAGAATAATGTAAAATAAATTGAATTTTATGAAAAGAAAGACCATAAAAAATCATTATTCCATTTTGATGAAGATTGAGGGTTTTCTGGAGATTTTGCAATGAAAATATTGGTTTGTTTCAAATCTCTGTGGACCATTCCTTTTGAATGGAGATAGGCGAGAGCAATAACCACTTGTCGAACTCAAATTGTATACACTACCAGCTAAGTTATTAAAAACTAGTTAGGGTATGGCGGAAAGTGTTCAGACTTACATTCGCTCCAATCGCAATGGAGGAATAAGTTTGATGGAATTATATCACTGCTATGTATGATAATAGAAGCAACAAAAAG